TTAAGACAGGGTTTCACTATGTTGGTCAGGCTGGCCTTGAACCCCCAACCTCAGGTGATCTGCCCACCTTGGCCTCCAAAGTGCTTGGATTAGAGGCGTGAGCCACCACGCCCGGCCTGCACACTTCCTTTCTGACCTCACCTCCTGTCCCACCCGCTCCCACTCGTGCCCTTCCAGCTGCACGGGTCCCTTTCCTCAAACCCAGCAGGTCTGCTCCTGCCTCAGGGCGACCCACTTGCTGTGCCCACGGCTGGCCTTCCCCCAGATGGCTCCCTCCCTGGCTTCCTGCACATGACCTCCTCAGCAAGGCCTCCCCATCCCTCTGCGATATCCCCACCACTATCCAGTCTCAGCTTTCTTCATAGCACCTGTCACCTGGCATATCTGTTTATAGTTGTCTCACTAGCAATAGTGTAAGTCCCCCAAAGTGGAGGTTGTGTATGTCTTCTTCACTACTATATTCCCCAGTGCCTAGAACAGGACTAGGATATAGTAGATGCTTCATAAAAAATTGTTCCATGGATTCCTTTTTTTAGACGGAGTTTCACTCTTGTTGCCTTAGGTTGGAGTGTTATGGCGCAATCTCGGCTCACTGCAACCTCTGCCACCCGGGTTCAAGCGATTTTCCTGCCTCAGCCTCCTGAATAGCTGGGATTACAGGGGCCCACCACCATGCCCAGCTAATTTTTTTATACTTTTAGTAGAGACAGGATTTCACCATGTTGGCCAGGCTGGTCTCGAACCCTGACCTCAGGTGGTCCACCTGCCTGACCCCTAAAGTGCTGGGATTACAGACGTGAGCCACTGAGCCAAGCCCCCTGGATTCTTTGAGAACCTTCTGTGAGCCAAGCAGCTCTTCATTCAGCTCACATGAGAAGCCTGTGATTCACCCATTGCATAGATGTAGAGGCTGAGATTCAGAGAGGTATGAGACTTGTCTGCCATCATATGAGTTTGCTGCAGTGGGAGCCGGGTTTCAACCCAGCCGAGTCTCTCCCCTCTGCCTCTCTGCTTTCCATCTCATCTCCCAGCTGGAGAACGATGCAGCTGGTTTTGCCCTCCCTTCACCCTAGCGTAGGTGAGGCTGACTCACAGTGACCCCAGACAGGGCCTGAGGCACCAACTCCCTGGGAGGTCTTGGCCAGGGGGACACAGGAGGGGGATCATACAGTGTCTTGAGGTTGGCAGGCCCACCTTTGGCCCTGCCCACATTTTCCTGGGACCACCCACCCTGACCCCCAGCTCCTAAATGACCTAACCTACTGCCTTCCTTTCAGCCGCCAGAGTCCCTAAACTCTCTCAGAATGGACCTGGGTACCTCTTTGTTTTTGCCTTCATCCCATCTGAGATGCAGTGACAGAGACAGAGACACAGGGAGACAGGGGGAGACAGAGGGACAGGGACAGAAACACAGAGACACACTTACAGACCAACCAGAGACCAGGAGAGTGACAGAGACTTGGCAAGTCTGGTCACAGTGATCCAAATCTCATGGGCCCCATCAGGGCCCCTGCCAGCCCAATTGTCCCTTTTGAGCAAGTTAAGAAAGGTACCCTCTGGGGGGATGCTACCCCTCCCAGGGCCTGGTGAGTGAGTCCAATGCTCTGGGGTTCAGTCCCGTTGGCCCTTTGGCTGAGTGCGAGCGCTGGTGCAGGAGGGTCTGTGGAGGCTGTCCCCAGATGTCTCCACGCCTGGGGGAAAAGGCAATGCTGCAATGCTCCCAGTTGTCCGGCCTCCCCGCAGGCCTGCCCCTGCACTGTTCTCTGAGGCCTTTCAGGAATGCCTGGGCTCTCCCCATTCTGACCTTGACTGGAGCCCAGCCCTCTGCATCACCCTTGGGGCCTTCCCCACAGCATGTCCTTGGGCCACGTCACCTCTGCCTTCACCACCCAGGAGCATCAATCCAGGCCCATCCACAAAACCAGCCCAGACGCTGTGTGGCTGGGAAGAGGCGCTCAGGCCTGCTCCAGCACACAGACCCCCGTCCTGCTCCAGGGACAGTGCCTGGAGCTGGAGGGACAACCCCACACTTCCCAGCCTCACAGACCCCCGCAGTTCAGAGGAATCCCAGGAGCGAATGAGGAGGCATCACAGGCCTCACTGGACAGACAGGGAAAATGAGGAACAGAGAGGAAGGGTGACCAGCCCAGGGTCCCACACTCTGAACCAAGGTTTCTCCTTGCCCCCACCCCCCATCCAGGTGCTCCCAGGGAAGCCCTGGAAGGCCCCACCCTTTCCATCAGAGAACACTCTGGGAGGAGGAAATGATTAACAGGGCAATTAGGGCACAGGTGAGTCATCTGGTCACACGGCCGGCCGCCTCCTGGCTGACTCAGGGGGACAGTCCACATGGGCCCTTCCACCCAGCCCCAACTCAGGGTCTGAGTCAAGCACTCCATGGGCTCTGGCCAGGAAGCCAGGAGAAAGCCCCCACCACCCCCACCCCCGCCGCCCTCTCCAGGCTCCACCCACACCCTGCAGGCTGGGGGACAGAGGCAGGGATTCCCACCTTCACTGGGCTGGCCTGGGCCAGGGTAGGGGACCATGCTGCTACAGTTTCCGTCTTCCCCTGCCAAGCATGTGGCCCCAGGGCCGGCCATCCAACAAACACCTGTTGTTATCAATCATAGCTATTAGTAAGAATGGCCATCCAGTTCTGACGCTGAACTTCAGCTCTGCAACAGGCCTCAGGCTAGACACGGTGGGAACCCATGGGGACCATCAGACAAGCTTCCATAGATAGCAGTCATGTTAAAAAGAGCTGGCGACAGAGAGCTCTTTTTCTCTTACGTCGGCTGCAGGGTCTCAGAGCCCGGACCCAGGCAGAAAGGAAAGAACAGGGACCCCACAGGGAAGCCAGCAGGACCTTCTGGTGAACAGCACCTCCTGGTGTCCAAATTAGGCCTGGTCCTGCTACCTATCTGATCTCTGGGAAGCCAGGTGTGTGTCGCCTTCGCTGGACATAAGGGCCCATTATTAAGCACCCCTTCCTAAGTCCACCCTTACTTTTGAGATTAGGCAACACTGGATGCCAGGGACCCCTGGCCTACCCAGCCCGGCCCTCCTGAGATAGATCCCCCGTCCCAGGGCCTCTTTCCTGGCTTTGTCCTTGGGCTGGCTGGGCAGGAACTTCCTGCTGGAGAATTCCCGGATCCTCCCTAGGAGGCTACAGCATGGCCTGGGAACTTGGGGAGGGAGGGAAGTCAGGGACACCCCTCTTAACAGGGGCAGGACTTGTGGGCGGCAGGTTTCCACTGGCACTCTGGGCCCTGGGTCCTTCCCCAGCCTCAGGTCAGGCCCACCAGACCTCCTGCCCTCTCCACTGAGATGCCCTGCTGCGGCCCTCCGCTCTGCAGCAGGGTAGCCCTCGCAGCCCCATGGGCACAGACGAGATGGATTTAGACCTCAGATAGACTGGGTTTGCTCCAGGGTTGAAGGTTGGGGGGCGGGGTCCAAAGACAGGCCGGCAATGAGGCCAGAGTCAAAGTAGATTTTTATTAATAACATCGCAGCTCCGACTGGCTGGGTGGGACAGAATTTGGGGCGGGCTCACCCTAAGACATGGACACTGTGTCTCCAGGCCCACTGGCCACAGCGGCTCCTTAGATGTGTCCTAAGAAGAGAGAGACCCCCGTGTACCAGCTCCAGGGATCTGGGCAGGGCAGACTCGGGGCCAGCACCGGCTGCACTCCGGAGGCCAGTTTCCCATCTCGTCCTTCTCCTCAAAAAATAGATACTGGGGGGCAGAAATTGGTGAATGAACATGCCTCAGTTTGCTCTGCACCCCAGAACCTCCCCACTGGCCCCCAGAGACAAGCGCCCAAGGCCACCTTTCCCCCACCTCCCCTCGGCTGGCACAGCCCCACCAACCCTGAACAGCCTCCCTGCCACAAAATGGAGCATGCTTTCTCCCTCCAACTTGGGGGGTTCCTTGGAAGCCCCAGGAGTCAGCACTGCTGGGATTACAGGTGTGAGCCACGACACCCAGCCCCAGCTGGCCTGTCTTTCTGATAGGCACTGCTCCAAAGTGAATCACACGGTTCGAAGCCCCGGCGAGGGACTGCCTTTGCAGCTTACAGCTCCACACCCATCATCCCAGGAAGCCCTTGCAACACCCTCCCCTCCCTCTCCTCTGGACACTACCCCAAAGGGGGTTTGCACCCTCCCCTCAAGCCCAGGGTGGCACTGCTGCTGCCTCCTTGTCCCTCCCTAGGCTGCCAGCTTTCCTCGAAGGCTGGGGGCAGCCTCCTTCCCCCTCAGTGCAGTGTCCTTAAGGGCAGTAGGGGGAGATGGGAAGGATGATGAAGACAGGACCTTTGAAACACCCACTGGGGCAAGGTATTCCTAAGGCAGCTCTGTCCCCAAAGTGAGGAGTGGGCTGAGCCCTTACTTGCCACTACCCAGAAATGACCCCAGGACTGTAACTCCCAGGACAGGGCAGGCTGGCTTGAGAGTGGATGGGAAGAAGGGGGAAGGACCAGTGAGGACTTGGGAGATCCCAAGATTCAAACTCTTCAGTGTGAAAAGACAAAAGTAGGGGGTTCTGCTAGGTGCTGACAACCTGTGTGTCTGTGGATCAGGTGACACAGGGGCTTCCTGTGACATGGGCATGTGGGTGGGCTTGGGGCAATCAGAAGGGTGCCCCTCAGTGTCCAGCAGGCATGTCTTTCTTTTTGTTTGAGACAGGGTGTCACTCTGTTGCCTCTGCTGGAGTACAGTGACACGATCACAGCTCACTGCAGCCTCGACTGCTTGGGCTCAAGTGATCCTCCCACCTCAGTCTCCCAAGTCGCTGGGACCACAGGCACATGCTACCATGCCTGGTTAATTTTTGTATTTTTTGTAGAGACAAGGTTTCGCCATGTTGCCCAGGCTTTTCTCAAGCTCCGGAGCTCAAGCAATCTGCCCACTTCAGCCTCCCACAGTGCTGGGATTACAGATGTGGGCCACCACACCCAGCCCCAGCTGGCCTGTCTTTCTGATAGGCACTGCTCCAAAGTGAATCACACAGTGTGAAGCCCCCCGCAAGGGAGTGCCTTTGCAGCTTACAGCTCCACACCCGTCATCCCAGGAAGCCCTTGCAACAGCCCCTTTCATGGGTAAAGAAACTGAGGCCTCTACTCAATATCACAGAGCAAGCTGATGCCAGACTAAGGCCTCTGGCCTCCAAACCCCTTGCCCTTTCCTTTTGTAAGATACACAGACTGTCAGGGCAATTGTCCACTGAATAAAAGAATGAGATGATGAATGGATGGAAATTAACCAAAAAGGGCACCGACACATTTTCAACAGATCCATCAATGTGCACTCAGAGAAGCTGAGACAGGCCTGACCTTTAAAGGCCGATGTCGAGGAGAGGGAGCAGCAGGGTGGTACTCCATCTGACCCAGTGCGGTCGCTGCCCTAAGCCTATGTGTGTTTGTGGGAGTGGACGAGGATGGGAGAGAGATTAGAAAAACGGCAGCATCATGTGATTTTCAGACGCACAGGAAAGCCTTACAGCCCATCTAGACAAATTCACTCATATTACAGATGAGGAAACTGAGGCTCAGAAAGAGGAAGGGACTTGCCCAAGGCCACATAGTAAATGAATAGCAAAGTTGAGACCCAAAAAATGGACATTGTGACTCTGAGTCAAGTGAGAAACAGAGACTGATGGAGAAGAGAGAGAGGAGTGTGTGTGTGTGTGTGTGTATGTATGTGTGTGCGTGTGCAGCGTGCACCACTCACTCAGGGGGCCAGGGTCCTGAATTCAGAAATACAACCAGCAAGAAGGCATGATACCTACCTGCGTACCCTACCCAGCCAGTGGGGCTAGAGCCCAGAGGGGATGGCAAGCCCCCAGCCCCACTTCTCCAGTGCCCTCAGGCAGGGACTGGTGGTCTGGCACGTGCCAGGCGTACCTGACCCACAATGCCCGCCTCCTCCAGGGTGATCTCTGGCCAGGTCAGCAGCTCTCGGCTCTCTTGGCTGCCTAGCTTGCAGAGGCGGGACTCTTGCTGCATTCCCAGAAGCTTCTTTAACTCCGACTCCAGGAAACCTGAGAGCCAGAGAGATGGCAGGAGACAGGGAGATGGCAGGGGACAGGCAGGAGGAGGGTAGAGCAGCCTGCTGGGAACCTGAGGACCCGGAGGTGCAGCTGTTCCCTGAGCCTCATCCCAGCTCTGTGTGGTCCCTGCTCAGCCACAGCCCTTTCTTCTTCCAGGACTTGGAGCCAGCTGGGCATCACTTCTCCTTCGCCCTCCCTCCCCAAGAAAGCTCACTCTCTGAGGGCCTCCTCTGACAGCAGCAGCGTGAAAGCCTGAGTCTTCACCCTCTGCAGACAGCACTCAAGGGCAGGTATCTACCCCCCGCCAC